GGGGGGGGGGGGGTCTCAGCTTAAACTCCAGTACCTGTAACCTAATTCTTCAGATTAGGTTAAAGGTCCCTGCTATACAATGCTCCTAGTGTTCTATAATATTTTCTTCATCGCCATTGCATCTACAACTTAAGCATCCAGAACTTGGCCCACAGTATGAGCTCAGTAAACAGTTATTTGTTGAACACACCCATTCACTCAGTAGGAAAAAATCCCAAAAACAGATACTGCTGGAGGAAAAAGCTAAAGATCATACATGTAGTGAGTGATGGGTCCCGGAATGGACTCCATTCGTGTGTGACTGTTAACAACCTAGCAACAGAGAAATGAGGCCCATATTCTCCCGGGTTTCTACTCGTGGCTGATAAAGGAGAAATACGTGAATATCGTCCAGACTGATACTCGGGTTCGCTTTCCGCCCTCAGCAAGCCTTCCCTCCACCTCCCTGCAGCAGCTGCAGTTCACCGCGAACCTGGCGCGCAGTTGCAGCGCCAACCTTGCAACAGGGCCGCCCGCTCGCCGGCCGCCGACTCACCTGGGCCCCGCCCACCGTCCCATGCAGCCGCAATAGGCACATGAGCCCGGGCAAATGTGGGGCCGAACGGACTGGGGGATGCACGGGAGGAACGGTGGACCCCGCTCGCGGCTGCAGCAGCCCGGACACGCTCTCCAGCAGCAGCATACGGAGACGCGGGCCCGACCCCACCGCCGAGAGACCCGCGGGCCCGCCCGGAACCCCAGCCGCGGAGCCCGCAGAGGGCCCGCTAAGAACGGCGGCGGCCATCTTCGCCGGGGCTCTAGTGGCGGCGTGGCTCGATGACGCAAACACACCGCGCGGACGGAGGTCTCGAGGGGAGGGAGAGTAAGACGGGGCTTGTGGTCCTGCGCTTGGGATGCCCGGGGATTGGACTGCAGCCTCTGGCGGGAGGGAGCATGCGCGGCGGGGAGGGCCCTGTGCGGGACACCAACGTTCAGTTCCTGGGCTGCTGTGGGGTGCGAAGGGCTGGTGGGTGGGCCGGGCCGGGGGCGGTCCAGTGACGCTTAACGAACACGTGGTCAGGACAAAAGGCGCCGGAGTGCTTAAGGGACCCGTTACGGTGAGAGAGTCCGGACACTTTCGCTCTGGGTAGCACCGATATCTAAGGAACTGCCTCTTCGTTTCAAATCATAGACATTTTTAACTACATTTACAACTACAGAACTGACACAACACACTCCTTGCAAACTTAAAAAGATAAATAAATCTAGTAGTATTGGGATGATATATAAGGCATCGAACACTATTCTACATGGTTGGCAGAGAAGTAAATTGATGCAACCTTTCTAGATGGCATCTTGCTAGTTCCCAAGGCAGTCTCTTTCATCGACACTTATTCATTCAACAAATAGTTATTGAGCACCTTTTAAGGTGCCAGGCACTGTTCTAAGTGATGATGATGAAAGAGTGAAGAAGACAATAACCCTCTAGACAGAAGAGATAGTCAACAAATAAGAAAATAAATATATAAATTTTGGATAGTTCTATGAGTTATTACCAAAAAATGAGCATGATAATGTGCTAGATGATGACGTGGATTGGAGTGGGGACTTCTTAAAAAGAAAGCCCTCTCAGCCCGGCCAGCGTGGCTCAGTGGTTGAGCGTGGACCCATGAACCAGGAGATCAGTGCTGGATTCCAGGTCAGGGCACATGCCCGGGTTGTGGGCTTGATCCCCAGTAGGGGGCATTCAGGAGGCAACCAATCAATGACTCCCTCTAATCATTGGTGTTTCTCTCTCTCCCTCTCCCTTGCTCTCTCTGAAATAAATTTTTTAAAAACACATTTTTTTTAAAAAAGGAAGCCCTCTCTGAGGATGGCAAGATGACTTCATTCATACAGAATCAAAGGAAAGTTTCTCTAAGCAGAAGCAGCAGCATGTGCAAAGGCTCTGAGGTAGAAATGGGCTTGCTGGAGGATAGAAAGAAGGCTAGTTTGGCTCAAGGAGAGGGGAAAAGAGGAAGAGTAATTGATACATGTGGCATGTGTTAAGGTCGGAGAGGTGAGTGTGGATCAGATCATGTGGATTCTAGTAGGCTGAGGTGAAAAGATCAGATTTCATTCATGCCATATTTGGAAGCCACTGAAGGGCTTTAAGCAGGGAGTGACAAGAACTCACGTTTGAAAAGACCCCTCTGATTGCTGTGTGGAGAAGGGACTTAGAGGGCCAAGAGTGGAGCAAGGAGAGCAACAAAGAAGCCATTGTGGCCCAGCAAGTGTGGCTCTATGGTTGAGCATTGACCCATGGAACAGGAGGTCACAGTTCAATTCCCAGTCAGGGCACATACCCAGGTTTTTCTCACCTAGAATAGAGTATATATCTCTTCCATATTTTTTGGCCTTTAGATCTTTCTAAAGTTGTCTTTCTATTAGTATGTTTTAATAAAGTAGTTTTCATCCCATGCAGACCACTTTACCTTTCAGTTCCAAAAGCACTTTAGATATGTAGCAATAAAGATCTTATTACCTTCTGGTCAGGACCATTTGACAAAAGTAATTGATAAGTCTAAAAGAAGTGTTTAAATCTTGAAAGAGGTGACGAGTGAGCTTAGAAGGTGGTGATAGAACTGAGGGGAAGGGAGGTGGCAGCTGGTGGGCAAGGCCTGTGTTTGAACATTAAAGATGATCTCAGAAACTGTCTTGTGTGTGTATTACTTTTTGTTGCATACAGAAGTGGAAGGGGGTGTGAAGTTGGTTCATTTGAGGAAGATAAGGGGAGTATGGAAAAAGAGATGGAAGAATAACTACTGTAACTTCTTAAAACCAAAATGCCAGTCATCCATCCCCCCCCCCCCCGCAAGTCCAGTCATTTTGCCCTCAAAATGACTCTTCAGCCTGACTCCTCTTCTTCCTTCCACTTTGTGGTTCATCATCTCCCCTTGACTAGTTTTAGTCTACAACAGCCTTCCCTCCACCCTCCACATTGCCCAGAATTATATTCGTAAAATGGAAATACCATGCTACTCCTTTACTTTAAAAACCACTGCTGGATCCATGTGCCCACCAGAGAAGCACGTCTCATTCCTTTTTACCTGCTATACAAAATCCTTCACTCTGCCCCAGTCTTCCTCCTCAGCCTTATCTCTCATGTTGTCTTACCCCCAGAAACACTCCATAACAGGATGTCCCTTGCCTTTCTCTATTTGAAATACCCATTCTCAACTTCTGCCCACCATTCAGAAAGATTGTGCCCTCAAATGTCCCCTCCTCTGGACAGCCTCCACTCCCTCCACCCCCACCCCAGCAAAATGCTTATAGTTGCTTTGTCTTCTGAGTTATAACTCCATTATAGCATTCCTGGGATCATACTTATTTATGTGTTTCTTCAAGTATACTAGGAAGGCAGGGGCCATGTTAATTCATGTCTGTGTCCCCATCGCCCTAACATAGTGACTGGCACAAAATAGGCATGGATGGATAGATGGAAGAATGTTAGCTGCAATGAGTGGATGGAGGAGATGAGTAGTCAGAGAAATTAGGCAGGGTAATCCTGCAAAGATCAAAGACGGACACCAGGGGGAGTTGGCACACCACAATAAGGCGGGAGGGCTGGCCAAGAAGGCTGCAAGCACTGGGGTGAGCGGTACGCACCAAAGCAAGCATCCCTCAACTGAAACCGCTCACCCACGAGTGCATCCCCCTACTCGCCAGGCTTGAGCTCGTTCTACAGCCCCCACCACCACCCCTTCCCGTCGCCTCCACCCCTACTGAGAAAGCAAACAAAGAGGAGGGGACCCTTGCAAGGTTCTGGATGCAGGGAGCCAATCAGAGGGCTCTAATCTCCCGGAAGGCGGGCGCCTTCTTTTAAGGGGGCCCAATCAGTTCCTTAGGAGGGGGTGAGGAGGGGCGGAGAGATGGGCGGGAAGAGCAAGGAGTGTGGAGGGATGCCCCCGGAGGGACAGGATGGGGAGGGGGCGGGGGCGGAGCCAATCACTGTGAGTGTCCGTGAGGGGAGGGCGGGCTGCGCGGCAGCGCGCGCGGTTGGGGCTGACGCATCTGGCCGCGGTTCCCCGGGATCC